TTTTTTTTTTTTTTTTGGTACCGGGGATTGAACTCGGGTCCTTGCACTTGTGCAGCAGGTGGTGAAACCACTGAGCTAAATCCTTGGCCCCTGTTCTGGGTTTTTTAAAATTCTTTTGTTTTCTCTTTGTCTTTCAGCCTAGGGAGTGTCTATTAACTTATCATCCAGCTCACTGATCTTTTCCCCAGTCATTTCTACCTGATCATCCTTCAAGGCATTCTTCATTTCTGCCACAATGTTTTTTGTATCTCCCATTTCCTTTTGATTCTTTGTTAGAGTTTCCATTTCTTTTTGGTTATGTTACTGAACTGTTCTTTTTTATATGTATTGATTTTAGCCTATAGTAGTTTTAAAAAATGCTGGTTTTCATTGTGAAATTTTCATACATGCATGTAACATATTTTGATCATATCTAGCCCTCTATTACCCTGCCTCACACCTACTTCTTCCTCTTCTTTATTCCCTTTCTCTGGTCAAGTAGTGTTCCTCCTGCTTTCATGTCATTTTTTTTTTAAATCCACGTACTTATCTTTCTGAGTCTGGCTTATTTCACTTAACGTGATGAACTTTATGTCCATCCATTTTCCCACAAATGACATAATTTTGTTTCTTCTATGGCTTAATAACACTCCATTGTGTGTACATATCATATTTTCTTCAACTACCGATCTGTTGATTTTCACCTAGACTGATTCCATATCTTGGCTATTTTGAATTTGTGCCACAGTAAACAAAGATATACAAGTTTCTCTATAGCACACTGACTTTAATTCTTCTGTTACCCATGTGTTCTTATATGTTTTCTACTTTTTCCATTGGTTCTTGGTCTGATTCAACTCTACTCTGGTTGCAATTTGATTCTGGCACCATCTGTAATTCACAAGTTAATTGTTTAGCCCTCCACAAGACTGCCTCTTACTCTAGATGCCAGCAGCAAGTGTGGTCCCCATATTTCCTATGCTTCTGGCTGACAAGCTATAAATTCTGAAGTCCCAACAACCACCCCAATTTTGATAATTCACTTTAATGATTCACAGAACACATTAAAAATGTTGTACTGCTGAGGATTTAGCTCAGTGGTTCTGCCGCCTGCCTCGCAAGCGCAACTTCCCAAAAATGCTGTTCTTACAGGTGCAGTTTTATTTTGAAGGAAACACAGAAGAAAAGTTCTGGAAGGGCTGGGATACAGCGCTGTTGTATCCTTTCTGTGGAATCTGGATGCAGCATCATCTGTGCACCGCAGTGTGTTCATGATTTGGGATGCTCCACTC